ACGGATCACAACCCTCAATGTTGCCCCCGCACCGGACCGGGGACCGGCAACGGGATCACACCCCTCGGCGCTGCTCCCGCGCCTTGCTCAGCCAGTGAGCGGGAACCGGTCTGTATGTGGGATCCGAACCCTCGGACGGGAGCGCCGCCGCGCTTCCCGAGCGGCGCACTTATCCAGTGCGCCACCGGGCCGGCCCGATCAGGAATGCTTTAAAAGGTCACTTATAAACTAGGGTATGTCTAGAGGATGGCAACCAAGATGATGAAAGATACTGGCATCTTGTTATAGAAAGGATAAGTGGAAGATCTGTGGGTACTTCTAGAAAAGTTGGACTGTCATGTTGAAGAGTGATTAGATTTAATCTGTTCTGCTCCAGGGAGGAATGGGCATGTATGTGTGATTCTGTCTTGTTTTTGCTAGCTTTGTTCATGATACTTTGACTCCTGATGTGCTTTTGATTTTTGACTGTGAGTCCATATTTCTTGGAAATTTATCTATGAAAATTATTTGAGGCCAAGAGTTGAAGTTCTTTTCTTCCAGGGAGGATCTGCTTTTGCTTCTGCCAAGCATCAGGGACACCTCAGCCCAGGTCCGTTTTACAAATAGTCCTGATTTGTGGGTTTTTTTGACCATCCAGGTAGTGTGTGAATTTAGATTGTAGAACTACACAAGGGCAAATCTGTTGTTACAGAATCTCATTGCAGATTTTTTTCTACATAGACATACCAGTACATCTGTGTCGAGGTGTATACGGGGGAAGTTGTTACTGATTTGTAAAAATCAAAGTTTGAGATCTCCTGGTTTTGGCAAATACCCTCAGGAAAAAAAGTCAACTTCAGTGGGTACACATACCTTCCTGGATTCCCACCTTCACTTTCTTTTGGGCCTTCCAGAGTTTTTTAACATTCTTGCTAGCTCATAGATTAAAAAAAAATTTTTTTTTTAATAAATATCTTGTTGTCTGTTTATTTGTTTTCAATCGAAGGGTCAGGCAAGGTGCCAGAAACTGAAATCTCTTTTCAGTATAGAGAACTTCTGGCACCCTCGTGAAATAGGGATCCTTTATTATTGTCAGTTTCGTGACCATTTTTGGTGGGGGAGGGTGACAATGTAGGAGATCCCTGCATTAGAAAGAAGGTTGATATGTAGATAACCTTTTAGGTCTCTTTCAATTATAAAATTATATAGTTTTAGCTAAAGTAATCATTTTTTGTTTCTCTTGGTAATTTACCATTTTGAACTGGACTAATATTATTTGATGATATTTAAATCTGTTTTCTCTAAGAATAGAAGTTGTGAATATCTGTCAATTATTAGAAAACATAGAATCTGCATTAGAAGTTGTATTAATCCACTCTTTGGTTTTGAAAGCACGTTCTTAATCTGAAATTGTTGAACAAAATTAGATTGGCACTTCAACCCTCACTCCAATGTAAACATAAATGGGATATTTGTAGATGGTTGGTATTCTTGGACAGATGTTGCATCTTGCAGGTAGAAGTCAGTTAAGATGCCCCAGGATTTAAATTTTTTCTGTGAGGGATTTAGTATAAAGCCCCTACTCCTCTTTTCCATCTGTCCAGCTTCGAATCATCATTGAATATCTAACTTGGTCATCTTCAGCTTTTTTTCCCATTGTAACTCTCAGTGAATGATTTGTTGTATGAGCCCTATTGCTTTAAGGACCCGTTTCTGTCTTCATCAGTCTGAGTTCTCTTGGCTTTGAGAAGGGTATTTGGAAGAAACGAAAATTTAGATTGCTTAATAAGAAGTATGTTTGGAATATAGGCACAATCTGCTTTCCATTGACTAGGTTAAGAACTCTCTTTAGTTCATCTCTGTAATGAACTATTTTATCTGTCCCGAAATAACTTCCTATTAAACAAAACAGATTTCCATAGCACCATCTCTAGACTCAAAGGCAAGTGGAGGAGCTCACAAATTTATATGTACTATGGATCTGTACATGTGCTATTATTTATTTTAAGAGGATTAGAGAAATGTCAAATATGGAAATGGTACTTAAATATTCTGATATTAATGTGCATTGATGCTTTGTAAATGCAAATTTAAGAGACTCCACAGAGTAATGAGAATTGTTACCTAGCAATAAGAGAAAGTATTTTGAAAGTCCATGTTTGCTTGTAACATATACTATCATAACACTGGTATGATAGAGGTTTGTAGAGAGACTTCAGGATTCTTTCCATGCACTGCAGTCATTTTTTCTCTGTTTGTATAGTTCTCTGAATCAACTGTTCAGTAAAAGAGTGGAATCAGAAAGAACTTTCCCATCTCAGCATTATATGCACGATAGCTGGCCTCTTAGTGGGCACATTTCATTGTCTGTTCCAGTCAACACACAGATTTCTCAAGTTCCAGTCAATGAGTAGTTTCCCAGTCAAGGGGTGAATTTGCAAGTGAGTAAGTCCCCTTAGATTAAAGTAGTGGATCTCAACATTTTTAGTTTTATGACTCCTTTAAGGACTTTGAAAAATTACTGAGGACCCAATAGCTTATGTATTAATTCATTTACAAGTAACAGTAATAAACACATTACATGTTAACATCAGAGCAATGATATCACCTGTCATGTAACACCTAGAAAATTTCACTGTACAATTATGAAAGAATGAGAGTGAAAAAGGCAAATAACATCTTAGTATTATTATAAAAAAGTGTTTGACCTCACAGACCCCCTGAAAGGGTCTTGAAAAACCATGTAGTTCAGGATTTAGGTCTAGATAGATAGATAATAGATAGATAGTCAACCAGCCTGGAAATCTTTCCAGGTATAAGATAGCTATTGGTTTTTACTTTAAGAAGAGTTCTTGTAAGTAAGGTTTGAAGGTCATATAGTTTTATGTGTGTTACATACACTAATAAGAGAGAGTGGAAGCTAGGTGGGGAATGCAGTTTTTATTCTTTTGGGACTTTGGTCATAAAAGCAGTTGATCAGCAGGAAAACCTGCTAAGAGTTGGAGACATTGTCCAACCTATGCCTAAGCTGCAGAACAGAATTGAATGAGTATGTACTTAGCCCCCACAGACTGGAGGAGGTCTGGGAGTGAGTGATACCTGGATCCATGGGAGGCTGCCTGCCCACATCTCGGTCTGGAGGCTAGACAGGCAGCTGGAGGAGGTCAGGATACTCAAGAACAATCCTGAATTCAGACATAGAGACATATCATGTGGGGCAGTTCCAATGAATGGGGAATTAATTCTGTTTCAGATATTAATAAATCATGAACTAGAAGGCTTATGTAATTCTGCTAGTGAAGTAAAATGCCCTGAAGATATCACAGTGACACTTTGGAAATCAGTGTCAAGGAATCTGATTTGGATGTTAAGACTCAAATCTGAAATTAACTGTAAGAGAAAAGCTATTAAATATATAGCATTCAAAAGTGGCCACATTAACTTGAACATAATTCAGGGTGATCTAGAGTAGAAGAGATATAATTAGTTCATTGTAATTCACTTTCTAACAAGTGATTTGGAAATAGGAAGTGGGCAATCTTTCCTCTTCCCCCTTTTTTAATATTCTCAAATAGTTTTCAGAAACAGTTTCTCCTTCCCTGGACTGTATAGGTTGTGAATATCTTGATGTGTCCAAAATTAATTTTAAAAAGGCAACTCCAATTCCCAGAAATCCAGACAAGGTGAAATAATGTTGGCATTTTCCAAAGTCCCATGTTTCAAAGCTAGCTATGTTGTAATACCAAATGCTTAGTTTTTCAACTTCCTTTATGGCCTAACAGCCCAGGAGATAGAAAATGATGTTCCTATCTGTTTTATGCATTCATACCTGCTGGTTTTTTCCCATCTCCAGAGTTGTTAAACTGCTAAAAACTAATCATCCATTAATAACGCTGCTGAATTATTTAGAAAAATCCCTAACCAAATAAATGATGGTTATGACCATCCAATATCTTCTCCTCCTCTCTTTCCCATCTCACTTCTCTGCAGTTAAAAGACTTCCAGACATTCAAGCCCATGATCACCATTAAAACATGCAGGGAAAGTCAAATCCCCAAATAGTTTTGTTGAAGTTGGGCTTAAAAATCAATGATTAGCTTGGAATTTGGATACTTCCTGTACAAAGGGAAATGTTGTTGTTTAATATAACTGTCTGTAATCATCCAAGAAGTATTTTAAGAACACCTTTTGCAACAGGGTCGACCTTCTCGTTTCTTTTTCTTGGGGCTTCTCATAGGGGTCTTGGGGCAAGTGCTTGCATTCAGCATCTACACCAAGCTACTTCTTTCTTTGCATGGTTTCTCAGTAATGGCCATTCCTTTTCTGGAAAATGTTGCCACCTTCACCTCATCATCCTGTCCAGAAATCTTTCTTACCCACTTCTAGTCCTGACAATCACTGTGTCCTGACTAGCCCTTCTTCTCCATCCCTTCCTCACTTATACAGTTTCAGAAGTTTCCTCTCTCAGCAAAATTTATCCCTGTCAAATCTGTCCTCTGTTAACACCAGAAGATCAGAAATAAGAAATGGTTGAATGAGAGCGGGCCCAACCCTGGGGGGAAATTAGTTAAGAGACTCACTTTTCATCATAAGTGCTTCTAAATGGTAGGACTTTTTAACTGTATGCTTGTAATGCTTTGGTGAAATTGAGTCAATTCAACATTCTTGATAACTCCCTTTTGAAGACATCACTATGACCGCGTTGTTACCCTATTTAAGACCCTTTGTGGTAGGTGCCTATTTCCTATATAATATTAACATAACCACAGTCATATATCTCTGTGTTTTTGCTTCTACTGTTCCCTCTGCCAGGAATGCAGATTCTGTTGATAGGGATTTGATCATTTTGTCAGAATCTCCTTCTCTGGACCAGGGTTTTGAACAGGGCCCTGTAGATGTCCTGGCTTGGTGTGATTGACTGCCCAGTAGTGTAGGGATGACTCAGACTGAGCAGGGATGGATCACATGAATTGAGGTGGACTAATTAAGACCTTTGGGTCTGCCCTCCTGTTTTTCCACAGCAGTCTGAGCTATCAGCTGAAGAAAGCCCAGAAAAATTAGGAATCTCCCAGCTACATCATCGGAAAGTGATTTCCTTGAACAAGCAGATTCTGCAGAAGACCAAACATCTGGAAGAGGTTGGTGTTTTCTTTTTATAATTTCATTCAGGTAAAGTGAAATCATTCTTCATAGAAGGGAGAAATTGGGGAAGGAGTTAAGATCTTTGTGATAAGTTGGTCAAAAGAGATTCCAGAATGGGAGGTGGCATATTATATCCTTCAGGCCAATCCAGCTGCCACTTGGATTTGTGAATAATGTTTTATGGGATGTATGCAAAACCATTGTTTATGTATTTTCTGTGGCTGCTGTTAAGCCACATTAACAAAGTAGTTGCAGCAGAGACAATATGACCTACAAAGCCTAAAATATTTACTACTTAGCCCTTTACAGAAAAAGTTTGCCAACCTCTGTTTTAGAACAACACAAAGCAAGAATAGCATTAGTTCACAAGTATTTACTGAGCACTGCTGTGTGTTAGGCACTGATCTAAGCTGTGGGGATGAGTGAAGAACAAGTTATCTAAGGTCTAATGGGAGACATACACCAAAAAAATACATCTGACTCATCATTGTTTAATTACAGCTGTGATAAGTGCTTGAGGGAGAAGTGTGAGGAGCTGAGAGAGTGACTGAAGGGAGACCTGACCTAGCCTCAGGCCACAGAGGACTGAGACTGGAAAGATGAGTGGACACTGCTGGGCAGGAAGTCTTCATGGGAGGTGTGGAGGGCTTTGGTAGGGACTTATGGAGCAACATGAACAAAGACCAGGGGGAGGAAGAGTCTTGGTCAATTTCTGTTTTGTGGCTGGAGAGTCATTATAAGTGAGGCAGTTGGTCAGCAGGAGTCTGATCAAACAGGATCTTCCAGGTCGTATTAAGGACAGTGTAAGCCACTGAAGGGTTAAAGTAGGGGAGCGGCATGAACAGAGTTGCATGTTGCAAAGACCATTCTCTTTGCTGTGGGAGCATGAATTAATTGGACTTGGATGAGAAGGGATTCAGGGAGAACTGTTAGGGGGCTGATGCAGTAGTGTAGACATGGACTACTACTATTGATGGCAGAGGAGATGGAGGAAACCAGATCATTTTTAAAATAATTGTAGGAGGGCCGACCCTGTGGCTCACTCGGGAGAGTGCGGCACTGGGAGCACAGCGGCGCTCCCCCCGTGGGTTCGGATCCTATGTAGGGATGGCTGGTGTGCTCACTGGCTGAGCATGTTGCGGGCAATACCAAGCCAAGGGTTGCGATCCCCTTACCGGTCACAAAAAAAAACAACACAGTTGTAGGAGATGGCATTCTATGGTACTTGGTGGCTGAGGAGACCGTTTTGGAAAAACCTTAATATATTTGTCTTGGAAAGTAGAAACAAGAGGAAGCTGGGGAGTTTGGAACGGTCACTGGGTGATAAAAAGTTACATATTTCAGTTGGATTGGCAATGAGATTTAATTAGAAAAATACATGTAGCAGAAGAGTATGGGAATGAATATGGCTTTCTGAAGAACCAGTAGTGTCTATGACAATTGATTTTCCAAAAATGGGTACCAGTTGGTATTTTGAGCTTGTGCATTTTTCATTCTTTCAAGTCCCACATATTCAAAAGATATTACCAGATCAAATGGTCCTGCTCAGGGCTGAGTCCGTGGCGCACTCGGGAGAGTGAGGCGCTGGGAGCGCAGCAGTGCTCCTGCCGCGGGTTTGGATCCTATATAGGGATGACCGGTGTGCTCACAGCGCTCACTGGCTAAGTGCGGTGTGGCCGGTCTCGAAAAGGACAAAAAAAAAAAAAATGGTCCTGCTCAATCATTTCTTTGTTTGAATATGTTCTATTAGAATTTTGTTCTCCCAGTGCTCCTGCCGCGGGTTTGGATCCTATATAGGGATGACCGGTGTGCTCACAGCGCTCACTGGCTAAGTGCGGTGTGGCCGGTCTCGAAAAGGACAAAAAAAAAAAAAAATGGTCCTGCTCAATCATTTCTTTGTTTGAATATGTTCTATTAGAATTTTGTTCTCCCATAGCTAAACAAACAAAAGTTGATTTTACCAAAATGCTCTGGATCAAAAGCAAAGAAGGATGCAAAGATTGACTGTGATTTGCTTTCTTTTCAGTTATTTATTTAGACATTTTAATGAACTCTTAGCTCAAAGAGTATCACCTCGGCTCCTGACCATTGTGATAAGGACGTGAAACTGGTTCAAAAGAACTCATCTCAGAATCAGGATGAACAGGAATTAGGGATGAGGCTTCTTTATCATAATGTTTTTATCCTCTGAGAGAAGGTAGTTTTGAAGTTATTGCAGAACCCAGGAACCAGAGTATCTCAGTACGGGCGTACATTTGCTTCTACCTCTTGCCTAAATTTGGGGGAAGGAATGCTATGCCTCATTCCAAAAGGCCCCCTTTCGATCTGCTTTTGCCTCAGTTCTTTTTATACTTTAATTTCTCATTTACTGGTCCATCTCCTTGAGGGTAAGGACCGTGTCATGTTGGTTTTTCCCATACACTTCATTCAATCAGAACATTGGGTAAATGTCAGACGAGTGAGTGTAGGGGTGAGGAGGGTCAGACAGATGGTGAAGCAGGTGGCAAAAGCTCAGAACCCTTGCCTGGAGCCTTGTCTTAATCTGTTTGGGATGCTATAACAAAATACCTTAGACTGGGTAATTTATAAACAACAGAATTTTATTTTTCACAGTCTAGAGGCTGGGAAGTTCAAGATCAAGGTGTTGGCAGATTTGGTGTCTGTTAAGGGCTTGCTCTCTACTCTGTGCATAGATGATGCCTTGTTGCTATTTCCTCACATGACAGAATGGGGCAAGGAAGCTTGCTTGAGTCTCTTTTATAAGGGGACTAATCTCATTCATGAGGTTGGAGCTCTCATGATTTAATCATTTCCCAGAGATCCCACCTATTGCATTGAGCATTAGGTTCCAACATATAAATTTTGGGGAGACACCAGCATTCAGACCATAGTAATAAGTCTCAAGAGTTAAATAACTAGGATTTCAAGAGAAAACCCAACTTTCTGCACAAGTACCTGCATCTCTCATTTTCACAAACAGGTAAATAAAAGTTCTCATTGCACAGATGGCCCCTTTTGGAAAGGGAGATGCCAGAGCCCACCTGCTTGCCTCCTTTATCACTTCTGCTGTCTGCTTGAGTTGGCTTCTTGATAGGCCTTGTCGGAAGTATAACCATTCATCAGCCATGAAGACCGATATCTAGAACACAACTTAGAAGTTACGTCACCTTCAGAAATCATTACTCCTAATAGGTTGCTTACGGGCTCAAGGATGGGGAAGGTTGTCTTGAAATAATCATCGAGGTATATAGGTTAAAATTTTTCATTGTTAACTTGCACCCAGGTAATAACTAGAATCTGACCGTGCTTTTCTGCCACTTCCTTTTTTCAGAAGTAGAAATACACAGACCCTTTGAAATTAAAAAGAATGTTTTCAGATTTCTAAAAGTTTATAGACAATGCAAGGACATACCTTTTTAGTAAGGAAAAGGGAATGGACATTTTCGAGATGTGAGTTTACAGTTATGTAATGTTGAACAGTAAAGGTAATTTGTTTTCTTTCTCTTAGTGTTGAAGTCCTGAATCCTTTCTTCTATCTGGCATCATTTGCCAGCCACATATATTCAGTGCTAGAATCCTGAGTGCTGAAATGCAGTTTGTATTCTGTGCATAGGGAGGTTGGTTAATTGAATTGATTGTAGCCATACTAAAAAGTCATAGACCTTCATTTGATTCCTGACTTCATCAGTTATTAGCTATGAGACTTCAGTCAAGTAAATTAACCCCTCTGAGTCTTTATTCCTTATCTGTAAAACAATAATAATGTATTTTTCCATTGAATATAAGGATTCAGTGATATGATTTGTGCAGAATACCTAGTACATTGCCTGACATGAACTTGGTGCTAATCAAATATGAGGGTTTTTTTAAAATATAGTTATTGCTGGCAACCCTTCTAAAATTCCCACATGTGCTCAGTTTAAATCTTTCTTAGCTTCCATTTTCTCATCTGTGAGATGGAAATACTATCCACATCTGTGTTGTTGTAAAGATCAGATGAGAGCAAGTGTCTTTTATCTTTCGTTTACAGCTGCAAGCAAGTCATACCAACCTACAAGCCAGATATAATGAATTGAAGAAAACGTTGACAGAGGTAAGCAGATTTTCCTTCATCAGCCTTTGCTGAAACTCATTTTTGCCCTATACCACTAATGGAATGCCGTGTTTCATCAGTCTGTAGGAGAAGACACGACCCTGTTCTCTGAGGCCTGGCCCACTTGAGGACATAGGGTAGCTACATGGTAGTGTGTGACCCATGTCATCAGTTCTCTGACACTGACATGTTCTAAACCCTCAGCAGTCTTGGTGGGAGAGGTCACTGTGGGACTGCATGGGTCAGGAAAGGCCGCCTGAGGAGGGCAGGCCTGGTTTGCAGGTGGGGTGCATTTGAACCATGTGATTCAGTTTCTGATCAAGGTTGGGAGGTGCCATCTCACATCAGTATCATAGCATTGCTCACCTCCCACTTCTGATTGCCTAGGAGACCAGACAAGGAAAACAGTTGCCTCTCATGAGACCTCTGTTATGAGGAGTGTTTAGATATTTTTTGCCCCTTGCATTTCCACAGAAAGCTAACCTCCTCCAGATCTGAAAAGCTCTCTTCATTGTGATTTTGGTGCTTGAGCTGTAGCTCTACTTTGGAAGGGCCTCACTGTGAGACTCCTACCATTTCTGGACCACGTGGAAGCTGCAGTCTTCAAAAACTTCTCTGAAACCAGCCAGTCTCTACTTTTCTAAAATTTCACATGAAATTTGCCAATTTAAAGCACTTAATTTGCCACCTTGCTATAAACCTGACAAAGCTTTTCGATTCTGACCTGGACTAGTCTTTTCAGTTATAGTCAGAATGTTTGAAAAGGGCAGGCACAAGAATGGCAATTCGAGTAAAACTTTTTTCATTTTTTCTAAAGATGCCTGCATTGCATGTGGACAGATCAGCTCCCTTTACATTGTTCTGTGACCACATTCCTTATGGATTAGGTGGCAAGCTTCTGGGGGTGGAATCCCTGCTGCTGTAATACTTTTAGTGCTGCAGAATCCCTGGCAGGAAGTTTGCCAAGTCATGGATCAGTCTTTGTATAACAATCTGGAAAGGATTAAAGACAAAACATCTTGATATCAATTTTCTAAGACATGTATATGCCTTAGGATGTAAATTTTAAGTGGCTATGAAGAGGTTTTTTTGTACTATACACTAAATCAAGTATTTGTAGAGCCCTTTTTATGTGCTAGAAATGTGGGGAGTGTGATTTAAGTCAATAAAAAGGGTTAGTCTTCTCATCCTCAAATAACGGCAGCCAACATTACTATGTGCTGGTGTGCTCTGGGCACATCACTGGTCTTATTTCATTAAATCTTCACAACAATCCTAGCACCATGCCGTTATCATCCCTGTTCTGTAGATGGGGAAACAAAGGTGGAGAGGTTAAATAACTTGCCTAAGGCCTTGCACAGGGGTGTCAGGATCCAAATGCAGGCTGCCAGGCACTGAAGCCCTCTCAGAGAGCTTCCTATCTAGTAGGACAGTGAAACTAATTCCTGTGTAGAAAAAGGGGAAGCTATATAAAACCTACTGCTGAAGAACTTATGGAGAAGCTTGATTTGGTCACCTGTGAATAAGTAATGACCTTCATCTCTGGGCCTGGGTCTCCTTATCTACTTATGGCAAGAATTGTGCAACATGAGCACTCCAAACCGTTTCACGCCAGAGTTTCTGGCTTTTATCTTTCCAGCAAAACCTGCCCTTCTAGGATAACCTAGTGAACACTTATTTACAATAGCCAAGAGTAGGAACCAGCCCAAATGTCCATCATCAGATGAGTAGATTATGGAAAACGTGATACCTCTAGACAATGGAATTCTACTCTACTATAAAAAAGAATGAAATACTGTCATTCACAGCAACATGGATGGACTTAGAAAAAATTAGATTAAGTGAAATAAGTCAGGCACAGAAAGAGAAATACCACATGTTCTCACTTATTTGTGGGAGTTAAAAATAAATAAATACACAAATAAATGGGGGTGGGCAGGGAAGAAGACACAACAATCACAATTCCTTGAACTTAAGAAATGAACAGATACAATGTTGATAGGTGGGAGGGGGTAAAGGGAGGGAGAAAAGAGGGATCAGTAAAGGGACACGAAAATCAACTACATTGTATATCGATAAAATTAAAAAAAAAAAGAAAAATCACAAAACTTTGCTGTGAAGGCATAAATAAATGGAGAGACATACACTATTTATGTACTAGGAAAAAAAAAAAAAAGAAAGAAACAGGGAAGACTTGTCTGTCCAGTAAATTTAGGAAAAGTAAAGCAGATGTGGAAGGTGCTGGGCAGCGGCTTGTGGTACCTGTGGAGGAGGCTGGCTGGCCCCTGTGTCAGTAGCCTGTGCTGCCAGGTTCTGGTCTGTCTACTTTGTAACTTCAGCAGTCACAACTTTGATTTCTTATATGTGAGGCTAATTCCTTTTAATATATGCAATATTGTCTTGTGTCTCCTAAAGGAGATTAAATGTGTCTCAAGTTTTTCTTTCCTTGTAACTCTTCAGGTCACTTGTTGAGTTGATAATATCTTTTTATGGTTTTATCTTTCCTCACCTGTTGATACTTCTTGGTTATGTGCACATCTTTGATTTTGAAATTTTCTGTTACCATCTCTGTGGATGCTGTATCTGTTTTACGCAGTCTGCTTCATGTGTTTATTCTAAAAATGTGCTGCCTACTGTTTGGTGGGGTCAGCCAGTGGTAACTGATATTCTGGGTCATCTCACCCTGCCCTGCCTCTGAAGCTTAAGCACTGGCTCTTGTGTTTAAAGGAGTCAGGCTCCATTGTGTGGCTCACCTGGCTGTTCCTAATGTAGCTCTCCAACCCGGCAAGCCAGTCCTTCCTACAGCTGCTGACACCACACAGCAATCCTCCTCAGTCCGTTCCTACCTGCTGGGCATCTTCCTTGTCCCATCTTTCTCCTCCCCTGAGGTTACTCACTCTTGTGTTCCAACATAAAAGTCTGGACGTTTTGAGACTTGGGGCAAGAAGGGGTTGCTGCAGCTTGTGCTGTGTCTGCCATTTTCAACTAGAACTCTTGGATTTTTTTTTTACTTGCTCTTTTTGAGTAGGTAACATTCACATGGTTTAGAATTCAAAAAGTACAAAGGGTATGTATGCCGGTAACCCAGATATCCAGACATCCTCTCCAGAAGCAACCAGTGTAGCCAGTTTCTTTGGAATCTTTTAAGAAATATTTTATGAATATACAAGCAATTACATGTATATGCTCTTACACATGTTTACATTCAATGTATGCATTCCTTTAGACATATTAGAAGCATGTGGTGCTCATGGCTTTACCCTCTGTTTTCTTCACCTCACAGCAAATATTAAAGATCATTGTAAAAAAGCTGCTTTGCTCTTTTTTTTAAAATAGCAGCTTAGTATTTAGTTGTATGATATAACTGCACACTGTATACATTAAAATCTGAGTTTCTTCACAGTTTCTTTAAAAAAAAAAAAAAACCTCTTTATCTACTTCCTCTTTATCCACTTCAGAAAAAGCTGAAATTACTCAAGTCTGGAATGTTTTAACCCTGCCTCTGGTAACAGCCATGATAGTGGTATTCTGAGATTTAAATCCAGGTCTCTCTCATAACCATTCTTTTTATTTTCCCCTTGCTACCAAAAGGCACCTGCTCTCAGCATTACTTTTGGCTTTCCATCCATTTGCTACTGTGATTTAAAACCATTGCCAAGGTTTCTTTAACCAGTAGAATGTCTAGATGAGTCTGGTTTTGACCTTTTTGTGTTGCCTCTCCACCCCATCCCACTTCTGGTCCATCTGTTTTCTCAGTGTACAGCCACATCCAGTGGGCTTGGCCACTTTTTGGAAGCAGGGTACAGGTGTAAGCCAGGGGGAAGGAAAATGGAAGTGCTCACTCTTCTATACTACCAAGTTCCTGGCATCCATGCCTCCATTCTGTCTTGCAGCTGAAGAGTCATAGTGAGAAACTGGACAAAGAGCAAACAGCCCTCGAGAAGATTGAATCCAAAGCCGATCCAAGGTGAGAGGTTTCAGCATGTGCTTATTTTCCTTGAAGAAAGTAACCTTTCCAATACCTGGTTGCTTAATTGGTTTGAGCACAGATAAAGCATCCAAAGGTCATCAGTTTTGCCCACATACAGGTCAATTAATTTCACATGCTCATCCAGAAAGGGGGACTCTGATGCTCAGGCATGTGCTGAGATGTGCTTGGGCTGCACTGAGTTAGCCACCTTCTTCCCAATTCCCCTTGCACTCAGAAGTAGCATGGTTTTTATTTGTTTTTCTGGTTTTGAAAACCGCCACACCTTCATGATACAAAAAGGCATATGGTAAGAAGTCTCCCTCACTCGCAGTCCCCAACCACCCAGTTCTCTCTAGATTCAACCACTGTTACCAGTTTTTTAATAGCACCCATTTTAGCCTGATCTCCTTGGGAGAAAAGATGCAGTCATTTTTTTGTCAAAACACAGCTGCTATAGTTTGTTTTTGTGTTTTGGTTTTTTTTTCCATGTAAAATTAGTTATCATTAGAGGAGAGGAAGCACTTAATATTTGACCTTTTTATCTCTACGCTGGGTGGGTGGTAAAGTCTCGTTATCACTTATGTGAATGAGATGGTGAAATCGTGAAAAGTTCAGACACAAAATGAGCAGTTCTGGTTTGATGTACATTTTTAGCAGTAAGTACCCACAGATTTCTTGGCTGTATAATTAGAAACCTTTCTTTCATGATATAGAGCAAAGTGCTGTCAGATATTTGACTGTTTTCAAATTAGTGCTTTTAATGGCCTTAAGCAACTTGTTTTCTTTTCAGAATGGATATTAAAAATGGTTTTTGATGCTGTATATACTTTGAGTACAGTTGAATAATGGGTATCATTAAATATATTCAGTACTATTGAAACTCATTGATGTTTCTACAGTTAACATTTTAATACCGGAATCTGTGATGTTTGTTTGGATCCGGCCTGATGGTCTTGAGTTTGTAAATGAATAATAATGTCAGTTAAATGGAAGTCGTTATCATTTGTGGAGAACACATTTGACACTCTTGGGGGAGACAGGAAATTAAAAAGGGAGTCCTTCTGTAGCTGGGGACCTGGTTTTAGCTGTGATTCATAAAAGCATAATGGCCTGCCGTATGTGATTTTTTATTATTTTCTCTTCAGTATTCTGCAGAACTTGAGAGCACTTGTAGCCATGAATGAAAATCTGAAAAGTCAAGAACAGGAGTTTAAAGCACATTGTCGAGTAAGTGTTGTTTGGTGTCAGTAGACAAACCAGGGGTCTTATAAAATCTCTCGGTTTACCTCCTGTTTTCCTGTTCATCCTTACGTAAGTGCAGTTTAAAAAGTAGACTCATCAAGCGGTTATGTATCATTGTGTAAGATGAACAGAGCACTTTGGTAGGCACCCTCCAAGGAAACCAGAAGTGAGTTAGGTTAGTAACTGTGTGCCAAACCTCAAAATTGAGAGCGCAGTCTAACAATGTTATCTAATTTACAAATATATTTGAAAGAAAAGTTTTATAACTTTTTTTATAATACATCGTATTTTATTGACAGATGGCCTTTGTGAAAAGAATAGTATCATACAAAACCAGGCCTGTCCCGAAACCTGGGATGTCTGTGTGTCATGTGTAAACCCTGATTCCTGCCATCTGGGAACTTGTGGTCTAGTCTAGAGGGGGTGATGCGTGCACAGGTAACTGCAGTGGGAGGTAGGAAATGAGGCCCAGCGAGTTTTGTGTGAGCTCGGGGGTAGAAAGGCTACTCCAGCACAGGAGCCGTCAGAAAGCTGTATCTTACTTAAAGGCCAGAGAGGATGGCAATTGGAAGAGGGACTTAAGGCAAGGCTCCTGGCTGGAAGGGCCCCAGGTAGGGTAGACAGGAGGATAGGGCTGAGGCCAGCTAGGGAGAGGAAGCAGACAAGGCTGATTGGAACTAGGCTTTAAAACACTCATTCATTGTAATTTTCAGTGATTCCTTCATATCTCCCCGGCCCTTTAGAAAGAAAGGCTCCTTTGACGAAGGTACAGCTGCCTGTATCCTGAAAAGAGCTTTCCCAGGCTGAAAATTGGGGATTAGGGCAACTAGTTTCTAATTGGCTTTTTGTCCTAGCATAAACTTATGAAATGTGGAAATAAGACTTTTGTATCAAATAGTTAAATAATTGCATTCAATTACTAGCTTGTTCAAGTTTTGTAAATGTTCATATTGCTTTTAAAGGAGGAGATGTCGCGGCTGCAGCAGGAAATTGAAAACCTAAAAGCTGAGAGAACACCAGGTGGAGACGAAAAGGTAAAGGCTCTGAGTTAGTCCTCAGGACTGCTAGGTGTTGTTATGATGTAGACCATGAAAGGATTTCTAGAGGACCAACGAGCACTCTGGTGCAAAAAACGACTGGCCAGTTTACTTAACTTAGTCCTGTAAATACACATTTCTCAAGTGTTTTCCTCCCATGATTTTCTTAGATTTCCATCTGTCTCCTTTCTCTTCCTTTTGGGGGTAAAAGGCAGTGGTGGGTGTGGTAGGCACAAATTACCACATTATACAACTCCCCCCTCTCCCTGTGTTTAGAGAAGAGATGTTTCCAACAAACAGCCAAGCTCTGTTTCCTGCTCCGCTTTTCTTTAAATTTCCTCCAGTTTACTCATTTCACCCTCCTGCACTCCTGCCTTAGGGATATGCCCCACTCCCAAAAGGCACCAAGGAATATGAAAAAGGAGAGCAGTGTTGGGTTTGATGTGAGAACACCAGCATTGCAGGAACATTCTGGGATTAAGGAACACATCTGATCAGCTGGTGCTCTGAACAAAGGACTTCATCTTCCATGGAGCTAGTTCCATTAAACATTAAATTGGAAAATAAGGACAGGAACATAAAGTCTGCTTCTCTCATCAAATAAGATTCTAGGGATCCCTTTGTGTTTGTTTTCCCTTCTCACATTTCATTTAAAGCTTATTTCCTGAGCCTCCCTGTGCTTAGGATGTGAGTGCTGGATGTGGCCTTAGAACCTACCGATAGCTCCTGCTCCCTTGTAAAAACCTGGGAACTTGGAGCTCGGGGAGGGGTAGAGACTTGTCCAAGCCAACCAGCACCAGAGTCCACACATCCTCCGCTTGGCCCAACACTCTGCACTGGACTGTGCTGTTGGCTATACAGGACACCACCACACCCAGTGGAGAGACAAAGGCCTTGGAAGTGCCCTGCTCACTTATGACGGGTTGTGTCATTTCAGCCAGGCCACACAGCAATTCAGAGCGGTGAGGGGACTGGTGTGGGTGAAGAACAGAGCCCAGGAATGCAGAGTGGCTTGGGACCATCATCACACAGCCTGCTTTTCCAGTTGTTTCTAAACTTGGAACTTTTGAGGCTTAAATCACAGTTCATGTGCACAAATCACAGAATTTCAGGATCACGTTTCTCTTCTCAGAACATCTTATTAGAGGGATTCTTATTCACATTCAAAGAGTTACAGATTGTTTTGGCTTGTTAGTGTGTAACTGACAGACATCTAAGAACAACTTAAAATCTAGGGCTCATTTACAAGCTGTTCCCTGTTCTGTCTCCAGACAAGCTCAATGAGTATCAAAGCATTTCTCAGGTCCACTCTCATGCCCTTGCCCCGGCCCCTTCCTACAGCTAGACCTCAGTTCCTATTCTGTTCCCCTTCGTAGGAAAGGTACTGATTATTTTTTCATCTTTTCAGACCCTCTCCAGCGGACAGACGCATGATGCCCTGACCTATATGATAGCTCATAATGTAAGTACCTGTCCATTCTCAGGACTGGCATTGTTCTCTGCAGGTGTGGCAGCCAGCTTTGTACCCTCCCATGGTAGTTTCTTATGCTTGCTGTAGTGTTCTTTATGGCGAGCTTCTCATCTGCTGGATGTTCAGGGACATCATCCCACTTTACAGGTGGGGGTGGGGTCAAACCAGAGATGGCCCTGAAGGCCACCACTCTGGTGGACTTTCTCCTAGTCCAGTGTGCAAGCTTTTCATCTTCACACCAGCATCTCAGCTGAGAGGGGAGAGGCCTGCACTGGCTGCACATGCTAGTCATAACCCATAGGCTCTGAGAGGTGGGGTGGTGCAGAGGGAGCTCTCTCTGTTGTACTATATACCAAGTCAGCAAACCGTTTGTGTAAAAGGCCAGAGAGTAAATATTTTCAGCTTTGTGGGCCAACTCTGCTATAGTAGCCATAGTCAATACGTAAATGAATGGACATAGCTGTGTTCTAACTAAGCTTTATTTACCAAAATAGGCAAAGTGGCAAATTTGGCCCTAAGGCCATAGGATTTAGTTTACAGGCTGTAGTTTGCTAATCCCTGTTCTGAGTTAAACCAGTGCTCTCAAGCACTCCAACAAACCTCCAGGAGAAATAAATAGGAAAGGAAGAGGATGAAGAAAAGAAAAGCAGGAAAACTGAGCTTTTTCCTTCTTTAAAGGTCCATCTTCCCTTTGTGCCCTCATAATCTCCTAGGAGAATGAGCTTTGGGACTCCTACAATGAAGTCTGTTGGCATTTGCCTGCAGCCGAGCCCTACGGAGGAAACTGTGTGTGTGTGTGTATGCACATGCACTTGCACATGAGCTGGGGAAGAGGGGCACCTCGGATCCCTTTTGTAACTTTGTCTGTGGCAACAAACCATCCAGCCGTGTCTCTTACTTCAATGAGGGGCTAGTTTCTATTCTCTATATCAGCACTGTCCAGAAGGACTTTGTACAATGGTAGAAATGTTCTGTATCTGCACTGTCTAATACAGTAGCTATGAGCCACATGTGGCTACTGAGCACTTGAAGTGTGGCTAATGCGACTGAGAAACTGAATTTTTTTTTTAGCTTTTAGTTAATGTAAATTTGAATACCACATGTGACTAGTGGCTATCATATTGGACAGCACAGCTCTAAGTAGAAACAGAAAACCAGCATCATCTTCAAATACAGAGGCACAGAACAATTGGTTCTCTTCTTTTTGGTAGCTGGCTGGTACAGGGATCCAAACCCTTGACCCTGGTGTTATAACACTGCACTCTAAACAGCTGAGCTAACCAGACAGTCCAATAGATTCTTTAAGTATTGATTTGTTTCCTCATCATCATAGTTTTTGCAGGGGGTTGAGGGGGGATGGAGTAAAGGGCACATAGATTTGGAGGTTACTTCACTTAAGAACACTGGATTCAGCCTGGATCCAGAAGAAGAAAATGTTATTATAATGTGATGTGAAAGGGCGTCAGGGGTCTATCATGAGACAGGAACCAGACCCTAAAGGAATTTGAAGGCTCAAGATGGGGGAAGTGATAAAAACATATGCAACTTCCAAAGACTCTATCAAAGAATGACAGTTTTCTATTCCCAGATAATTGTGGCTTCTTCCAATTTTTAGGAGGAGCTAGACAGACGGTATAATATGGAAAAAGAGAAACTTTATAAGATCCGTTTACTACAGGTGAGTAAAAACAAGAACAAAAAATATGTGAATCTAACTAGGTATGAATGTCCTATGACTCCATAAAAATAGAAAGTCTCATTATCTAAGAACTAGAGAAAGCAGGTAATAAGGCTGCTTCCTACCAGTTTCCTTTCTATCTGGAGTGTAACTCGATGATTTAAGATTTTGGTAATGTCATCTCACATTGGTATGTTGCTTTCATGGTCACTCATTTGCGTTGGTCCTCACCACAGGTGGAGAGTAGGTGTTATTAGCCTCATTTTCTTTATGAAGAAATTGACTCAAGTAGGTTAAATACTTGCCTAAAGTCAAGCAGCTGGTAAGTGCGAGAGCCAGGATTCAGATTCCAGTGTTTTTGTCTGGGGCTTTTCCTCTGAAATCGAGTGCTCATTTTGGCTGTCTTATTTGATAACCTTGAGCGTTGATGCGACCGGCATCAGATATGGGGGAGGTAGGTTTTAAAGTCAGCTCTAAACTAAATTCATGTAGAGTCAAAATTACATGTCTACAAGGACATGAACTGGCAAGGAGGAGATTGAGGAGCCGTATCTGATGGAACTTGGTACCGACTGGGTGAGAGAAAAAGAGGAGTCAAAGATGATGCTTGGATTGGTGACACAAGGGTGGGTACTTGTGTTACTGAGGAAAAGCATAAAGAGAAGGAGTAGGGTTAAGCCTGAGGGAGGGAGGGAGTATGAATAGGAGTGTTAATGGGATCTGTGTGGAGCTTTGAAAAGTTGAGATGCCCAATCAAGTAGAAATGTGCAAAGAGTGGTTGTCAGATCTGACTCAGTAGTTTGGGCTGGAGATTTGGGTGTCTGCACTGTGTTGATAATGGCTGAGGCTGTGAAAATGTAGAAGAGGCCCTGGGACTAAACTCTGGTGAGCACAGTGTGAAAGGACAAGCAGAGAAAAAGGAGGAATCTACCAGTGAGGATGATTTTGAGCAGCTAGAAGGGTAGAGAAGACAGGAGCAGGAGGCCTCATGGAACCTAAGCAGAGAGCTCAGTAGAGAGGATGGTAAATGCTGCTGGACATCAAGAAAGCTAGAAGCTGACAATTGTCCATTAGATGTGTCTCTGAGAAGATCTACAGTGACTTTGGCAGGTGCAGTTCAGTAGGGCGTGGGGGAAGCCCAGCTGCAGTGGGTTGAAGGATGACTGGAGGGGAGGAAGTAGAGGCACTGAGGGTGCATGGCTCTCAGTTTGGCTATAAAAGGGGAGAGAAAGAGGCTGGTAGCTGAAAGGTGATGGGTTTAAGGAAGGGCTTTTTTAAGAAATGAGGACTTGAGCATATTGAAATGCTGATGAGGAGCCAGTAGATAGAATAAGGTTAAAGATACCGTAAAAAGAGCGAATAATTATATCTTAAGATTCCTGAAAAAAAAAATAGGAGTCAGAGCCTGAGGACCCATGGGGAGCAAGGCCTTGGCCTAAAGGGCAAATATGTCCTTCCCTTTGCTCAGAGTTGCAGAGACCCTATTTTGGGTTTGGTGACAAGAGCTGATGGTGGATTTCCCACCTGGAGGCTTGTATTTCCCCAGTGAATCAGAGACCCACATCCCCTGCTGCAAGTGAAGCAGGCCAGGAAGAATGAAGGCATAGAAGAAAGGCAGTGCTGAGAGCCCCTTTGGTCCTGAGGCCATTAATGTGCAGTGGGAGCAGTGTGTGTGCTGAGCAACTCACACCCGCAGCAGCTGCCGCATGTCACCCCACACCGCCTCACCCATGTAGTCAGAAGGGCAATTTCTCAAGTCCACGGAAGGGAGAAAATGCTGGAAAAGTATTTGAGGAGTAAATTGTAGGGGCTTTTCTACCAGGCTGAAGAGTTTGGAATGTCTGTGGAAGCAACAGGGTGCCTGTCCCGACCTGGTGATGCGGGAGTTGGCTGCTCTAAAGTCCTTTGGGGCCTGCTGGGCTAGCTGCGGCCTCTGTCCACAGAAGCCCTTCTCATGCAGACTCTTACTTCCTGGTCCATGAATGTGATGTCTTCTGTGGTTTGGTTCATAGCTACACCTCCTCCCATGTGTGGGAAAGTGGGAAAGTCAATCAAAATCTGAGATGGGGACCTCAAGCCAATGGCAAATTTATGCCTGCATTCCAGAGCATGTGGTTGGGCTCAGATGGGGGTGGGGACAATATTTTGGCTCCCCAGAGAACATGTAAAGCCTTTTACCAATTAGCATTGTCTCCCCCTCCCTTTTGCATTTAGGCTCGAAGAAATCGAGAAATAGCAATATTGCACCGCAAGATTGATGAAGTGCCCAGCCGAGCTGAACTAATACAATATCAGAAGAGATTTATTGAACTCTACCGCCAGAGTAGGTGCATCGGCCACAGACAAGCTCTTGAGGCTGGGGAGGGGCACATTAGCATGGTGGAGTATGCACTAGAGCACGGCTCACAAATACCACTACCAGAAAGGGCTCCGTTCATCATCAGGCCTGCTCAGCAATCTGGCAGCAGCGTTGTGATGCCCTCACTGCCTTCTCCATGGACAGGTTGTTTATTCCCTCGTCCTGTTTGGCCACATGGCCTTCCTCTGAGCTCCCACTGCACTTTCTGTCTGTAGATCAGTGCTTACTCATCGTTTTTCTCTACAAACTTTCTTGCTGATGTGGTCTTTACCTTGAACAGCATAGTTTTCATCCACTAATCCAGGAATGGGTCTGCCTCAGCCTGAATCAGTGACCAAGTCTCATCAGGCTCAGGTGGACCCCCAAACTGTTGTTGCCTTTCTGTTCCTACTGCTCCTGCCATATCTGTTCTTATCACATCATATTTCAGCTGAAGGACCATAGCTGGCCTACAACCCCTTCTCCAAGTCCCATACCTCCTCATCTGATTGTACCACTGCTCTCTCTGCTGACAGATCTGCAGGAGCTCCCCAGGACCTACTGAATAAAGCCTCTCCTTATTATGCCTGGGATCCTCCCCAGTTTGAGTAGCCTTCCTGGAGGCCTCTCTTCTGATCTGAACTCTCACTCTGGCCTCATCGGTTTACAAACTGCCTCTGAGCACACCATGAGCTTCGACATTTTAGCCTTCTCCTGTTACTTTTGCCTGAGATCCCATCTCTTCTGTTAGGCAAAATCTTTCAGGACCTACCTCAGATTCTGTAAACCCATCCCAGGCTCCCCACCCCAGGCAAGAACTAATCACTCCTCCTCTAAGCATTCCCTTTTGCATGTTTCCAGTGTATCTCAAACTCAACAGGTACAAAACTGAATTCAGCCTTTCTGTGCCATGTTCCTCTAGCCAAGCCGGACCCCTGCTAGTCCTCTCTGTCTCATGCTGCTTGCCACTTCTGTTTCTTAGTAATTTTCAGGTCTGTTTCTTCTGGACTGCTGCTGTAGCCTCTTCATCACTGCCCAGAGTCTAAATCCTTCTCCACACTCTTGTCTGAGAGATCTTTCTCAAACATAAGTTTGATCGTTTTATACCCTTGCTCTAAAAGCTTTCGTAATGAATACCTCCCCATAACATGCTGGATAATCTTCAGAATCCTAAGTACACCTTGCAGAGTCCTGCATCATCTGGGCCACTTCACCATCCAGCTTCCCCTGCAGTCACTCAGTGCCCCCCACTCTCATTCATCTGCATCTTAGCCTATGAGCTGGTCCTGAAGTCCAGAATGCCACTGCCCTGCCATTCCCACTGAGTTGGCATTTCAAGATCCACCACAGATTTTGCTTTGAGGTTTTGGCCTCTCAAACATCCTTACTGGTTTAAGCTAGAGCACTGTCCTTTCTTGAAGGAGTCCAGATCATGCCTCCTTTCACAAGTCCTGCCCCACCATCCTGAGGTCCATCAAGTCCTCACATTGGACTCCCATGATCAGAATAACGTATCAGCACTAACAGTTTTCATAGAAAATAGTTTCTGCTTTAAGTTAAATCTTTCCCTTTAATTTTCTTCTGCTTGCTCAAGAGCTTTTAGCAATACTAATACCTTGTATCTATATACTTCACTGCGTGAATTTCACATGTTAAAGCCATTTGATAAGGACATTGTTACACCAAAGAAATTTTCAAGCAGTTGCACCAAAATACCCATATGATTTTTTTCATTATCATTAAATATCTGCAACCCCCACCCAATTCTTGAGCCAGATGGGGAAAGGGTGACTTGTTCATATATGGGGGCGATCTTCAACTTTGACTATGCGTTGTCATTATCTGGGTTCCACTGGCAGACATTCTTCTTTGATCATCAGACATTTAAAAGCTTCCTAGGTGACTCTCTTTGTACACTGTGGGGCTTCTGCAGAGAGTTCCCAGCCCTGACAGCCCTGAGTCCTGGCAGTGTCCCTCATGGGGGAGAGGGTGCTTAGGTCATTTTGATACCTGTTCTTATTCATGTGTTGATTTGTTTGCATTTACAGTTTCAGCAGTGCATAAAGAAACCAAGCAGTTCTTCACTTTATATAATACCCTAGACGATAAAAAGGTTTATTTGGAAAAAGAGGTAAGAATCTTCATAAAAACAAAATAGCTTAATCAGATGAGCAGCTAACAATGCAGTTGATTCCAGGAAGATCAAATGAGCTTGATGTCTGGGATGGATGCATTCAGTTTAAGTGGAAGGAGTGACTTGTATATCAAGTGCTGGGATACAAAGTTGGAAAGTGCAAGATTTTTTGTGAGCTCATGTTGTCTGGGGTGACATGAAACAAGTGGAGAGTCACTCTGTAGTGTCATGTGAGAAATGCCATCATAAAAAAGAAACATAGTGGAACCTCTGAAGCTGGTGAAGCTTTAGTTTGAGTTTTAAAGGAAGGGAGGAACCAGCTTAATGAAATGGGGATGATGGGCTTGCTGTAGTTTATGTGGAGAAAATAGCTATTTAATCATTAGTGGCAGACATATGGGATTGAACTAAAAGGATTGTAAAATTCAAAGCACGGATGAAAAAGGGTTAACATGGGCACTGGCACCCCCTCTGCCTTACTGACTGTGAACCTGAATTCTAAATATGGTAATTTCTTAGTCCTGAGTCCACAGGTTGAGAGTCCCACAGCCAGAAAGAGGTTCTGAGCCCACAGCCAGAAAGAGGTTCTGAGCCCACAGCCAGAAAGAGGACCCAGGTTTCTAGACTCTGGACTCAGAGCCCTTCCTAGGACTGTATCATTGGGTCAGTTTGAGAGTGCTACTTTAGGAGCTGAGGTAGTTTCCATGGGAATGGTGCCTTGAAAGTATTCTTTCCCTCAGAGGCTCTCAGAGCCGCCCAGCAGCTGGCCACAACAGCAAGATTCTGTGGGAAGGAATAGGATGGGCACAGTGTTCTCACTCCACCCCGACCAACTCCCCTAAGCTGATCGCCCTGAAAATAAAGTTCAGTGTTTGGCAAGATAGAAAGGGGCTGTGGTGGCAGCTCACCTGAAGAGCCCTAGTGCTAGCTTAGCATCTTTTCAGGTGGGATGGAGGGCCCTTCACAGAGCCCTCTTCCTGCACTCCTGTGGTACTGCGTTAGAGGAAGAGTTTTTTGTGAGTAGAAGGAAGTGAGTTCCCTGAGGAAAACTAAGGGGCTAAGAACATGTTGCACCCTTTTTTTTTTTTTTTAAATGTTACTTTAATCTACATAAACAAAGTATGTGTTCCTTTGAGAAGCAGTATCCAGAAACAAGGCAGTCTTTCAGTGATCGAGGTAGTGCCAGGGGTCTTTCAGCCCTTTACTGAGAGTTTGGTTTTTGTTTGTTTGTTTTTCTTTCTTTCTTTTTTTTTTTTTTTTTTTTACTTTCCCAGATTAGCCTGCTGAACTCCATTCATGAGAACTTCTCACAGTAAGTACTGTCAGTCCTCCTTTCTGTAAATTCCCGGTCACCCTGTACTTTGTGTTTGGCCCCTCTTGTATTGCCATAGTGTGATGGAGAAAGGTACATGCAAGACTTCACACTGTGTATGTGATTCTTACACTTTTACCCCTTCTGCTGACTGCATGTGTATCTTGGTTTATACTGTCCTTGAGTTCCTGCAAAAATACAATATCAGAATGAATTTTAGAAACACAAAGGATGAGCTTAAGAAAAAAGTTACCTTTCAAATAATTTGACTGTGCTTAGCTGCTATATATAATCTTTGTATATTAGTTTTTTATCTTGGTAAAATCAGGTTAATACCATCTATTCTTGAGTATATAGAGATGCTTTATTATTTAGATAATGAAATAATATCTATTTTTTTAAGGATTTTGACAATATTTTGGTACATTTTATTTTTAAGTTAATGTGCATCTTTTAAATTTGTTCAGATATGAATTTTTTCCTCCAAAAATTGGATGACAAGGCCCAGCAATACTCAAATAATACCAGCCTTTAGCATGTCCATTTGCACCCCCCGTCCCCCACCATCCAGGCAGCTCAGGGCTTGCTCCCTAGATAGTAGGCTTTCTTCTCTAGCAAAATCTCTGGCAGGTGACAGGGGACACATTAGTGACTTATGACCTTGTGACATTTCTAAGAATGGTGCTTTCATCTTTCTTTTCTGATAATTGAGAGAACCTGAAGTTTGAGTGTTTTTGTGAAGAGTTCTGCTCTGTCAGCCCATCCTTTGGAAATATTCTCAATTCTGTGTGTGCGTGTGTGTGAGCAGGTGTGTACACGCACTCTGATCCTCCTGGCATCCTTCCCTCTGCAGAGCTGAAGATGAAGAGGCATGTTTTAGGGCATCAGGGAATCCACTCGTTTAGCTGCTGCTTCTAGAAACAGGACCTCGTTTCCCAGCCCTGGTTTTAGGAAATTTCAGAAAGTCCACCAATCTTGAATAGTGTCTCTGAATCCTCAGATTTTTAAAAACAAAATGAAATTCATTTCTTAAGTACATGTCATAACTCAAAGTAAATAATGTTTTTGTTAATTTTAGTCACATTTTATTTTAAGAAATACGTATTTTTTTTTTTCTTTCTTTAAGAAAGTTGTAGGGAAAGTAGGAAAAAAAATGAAAGTTAATATTCACTTACAAGACCAGGCTAATTTCCATGCCTTCCTCAGAGATTTAGTATCCTGGGATCCTAGGAGCTCCCATGGGTCCACTGTGCCTTGCAAAGTCCCTGTTGCCTCTTGGGACATAATCTGTGTACAGAGCTGATTCCTTAGTGTCTCTGCCTTTCTCAGAATCCTGTGTACTAGTCACACCTCTGCTGGTTTTTCTTTCAGAGCCATGGCCTCCCCAGCTTCCCGGGACCAGTTTTTACGCCAGATGGAACAGATTGTAGAAGGAATTAAGCAAAGCAAAATGAAGGTCAGATAGCTTCTTTTCTGTAATGCATCCCAGGTTTCATAGTGGTGATGGGGAGGGTCCTGGGAAGAATAGGCCTCTTCTGGTTGTTCTCAAAGTGTGCTCTCAATCCTGTAGACACTTGTTTCTTGCAGAGGGGTTCCCCCATGCATCTGCCTCTGCAGTGGGCAGGGCCCATGGGGTGGTTCAGAGGCTGCTATTAGCAATAGCTCCCAGTCATTGAACACCTACTGTGTTAGTCCTCCTAAAAGCCTTCTTAAGTGAGTAGTACCCCCCTTTTACAGATGAGGAAACTGCCTTTTAACAGCAGATTTCCTCTTTTGCCAAGAATAACTTCCTTACTGGATCTTTGGTTCCTGACATGATGCCATTAGAGTCATTCCTTAGGAATCTGAGAATCTTGAGAGCATTTTAATTTTCAGGAATCTCCAATAAAAGAGTCAAATAATCGCTGAACTGAGTTCTGCTAAAGTGAGAGGAAATTGAGTCTTGAAAGTCAGAAGAAAAAAGAGAAGAACTGAAAAGAGGCATGGGATCACTAGAGGGAGCTTTGCAAAGAACTACTCAGTCTGGGAACAGCTTGGGGTTTTCTTCCCTTTGTGGTCTTGCAGGTGGGCCCTGTTTTGTCCATAGTAAGATGGATTCTCTCACTACTATAGATGAAGACAGACACGTAGCCGCAGTTTATCACCATTCTCGGATGAATCCTAAGATAGCTCTTGCTTTCAGTCCTGCTTAAATAAATGTATCACAGCAGAGTGGTCCTCAGACATGGCAGTTAAATTTTCCAAGGACCTAGGGTATCACCTATCGTGATCTTGGAGCCAAGTGCTCCGGTGAGTGATGCCAGAATGTAAACACGTGAAAGAAAGAATTGCCTGTAGATCCTGTCATCATAAAAAACCCACTTACAAAAGACAAACATTCACACTGCCTGTAATTTCACCTCACAAGAGATGAGCTAAGGGCAGATGCCATCCACATCCCTTTCTCTGTAGAAAAATATTAATGTCTGCATTAATGACTTCAATAAAATGGTTTCAAAGGAGGGGGGAAAAAGTACAAGCATGATTTCTTGGAAATGAGAGCAAACCTAAGTCAGCACTTGCCTGGTGCATGTACACTCACCCAAGGCAGGATAGGCTTTCCTGCAGAGAGCAAATGGCATCTCTTCTGGATGATCCTGGCATGTGAAGTAGACAGAGAACCTGGCTGACCAAAAGCCTGTGACAGCCCAGATCTCAGTGTGGTGGACAGTTTCTACCCTGCTGTTGCTTTTTCTGAGGAAGGTGCCCTTGATTGTAGTAAAGAGAAAGAGAAATTTGTGTGTGTGGCGGGGGAGGGGGGGGTCCCTTTGTCTTCCCCTTCCTGTTTATAGGAAGCTGCATTTCTGGAGGAAGAAATGGGTCTGACCCCTTCATTACCTCCACTCTCTCTGGGCTTCATGCTATTGGCACCTCAGTGCTGGCCAGTGAAGGAAGCTGCCGCTGTGTCTGCCTTCCCACTACGTGATGGGCACCAGGCAGGTGATTGAGACCCAAGGCAGAGTGGGCTTTCTCTCTTAGGTCTGCATCCCCAGTGGTTAATGTAGCACCTGCCCCGTGGTGGGCGCCCAACAACTGTTTGTTGAATGAGTGAATTCATTCAGTGTACTCTAAAAGCATTTCTCAAAGAGGGCTCCAGATAGGGTTTGAATATTGACTGGCACCCTGAATGGACTCAGTCAGTCTGCTTTGCACAACAGCACTCATTTGGATGGATGTGTTTTGTTGTGTTTGTTTAAAAAAAAATGAATGTGGCCCTCCCTGTGACATTGCCCTAATGGGTTCCTGCTACTGTAGATGTAGCAGGGGAGTCTTTCCCCCTAAGCATAGATTCCCCAGAACTAGCAGGTTCTGGTTGACACGTGATAGACCAGCATTGGGTACAAGTGATAGAATAGGTGTTTATGTTCCACTTAAGGGTTTCTGAGTAAAAAGGAGGTCACATATTAGTAGGCATTTTGACATTACCCACAGGAGGTAAGGTCTGTGGATCACTGGAATACTGTGGGGAGGTGCTTGGCAATAGCAATCTGGAGTTCCTGACCTAAGGTGTGAAGAGGTGATAAGTAAGGAGTAGGAATGGTATGAGTGGGCACCAGGATGCTGAGAAGAGTGTGAAAATGAGACTTTGACCAAAGAGTCAGCTCCTGATTCTGCAAGTGAGTGGGACTCTTACCATTTACCTCACACATTCTAGGATGTTAAATGTTAAGAAAAGCTGTCTTTATTGAGCAGCTACTCTGAACCAAATGTTCTTTCATTAACTTAACATTCATTATCACATATTCCTTGAAACAAAACCGATGATCTATGTGATATCCTTATTTTACAGCCAAGGGACCTGTCATCCAAAAAAGTAAAATAGCCTGTCCAAGGATACATTGTAAGTGGCAGAGAGAAGATTTGAACCCAGGCCCTCCTGGCATCAAGCTCATACCCTTACTAAGTTAACACCCTACCTCCCATAGTGGGTCCTGGATAAATTCATAATTGAATTCAAGTGTGTTGTCTGTACCACTAGGACATAATCTATCATGGCCAATTTTTTACTAAAATACAAAGCAGACAGGAGAGACCTAGGAGAGAAATGCCTGCTGTGCTAAGTAAGAGGAGAGACCTAGCTATGAGGTCCTAACCAGTCCAGCAGAAAATGTGTCTAGCAGGTTTGGGAAGTGGGGTCCAAGAGGAACAGCGGTGGGAGTGGTGGTGGGCTGGTGGGTCACTGTGGCAGGAACCATGAGCTGGGGCTAAAGTGTTGCTTTGCCCACCATGGATTTGTCACCCTACTTCCCCTGGGTGACAGAGCCACAAAGGATTACTCAGCCCATCTCTTCTGAGCAGTGAGAAGCCCCGAAGTGGTTAACTTCCCCAGAACCCTCAAGTGAGAGTCATCCATCCCTTCCTTGGGAAATTAACCCCGAATTGGGGTTCTCTTCCTGCATTTATTTTCCAGACCAGGAAGTTACAGGAAGAGAACATAGTGGGGGTATAGTTTAACAGTATAGGCTGGTAACTTTCAGTGAAACAAGTCGGATGACATTCCATTAGACAATTAAGTGATCCACCAACAAAAGCTTGATCTAGCAAACATTCCTTCTTAAAGCAATTTTCCAGTATCTTCACATATCAATCAGTAACCTGTCTGTCCTTGAGCCAGCAACCTTGCTGTGCCACAAATCTTTATCTTATACCAGAGACTTTACAGTCTGAGGAAGATTTCCTGTCCTTTGCAAGGTCAACACTTGAAACTGCAAGGATTTGGAAAACCAGGCCCCGTGAAGTACATTTGCTTTAAGAATCCTCTACACTAAAGATCCAGGCAGATAGTTTCAGGAAGTTTCTCGGCAGGGAGCAGGACTGGCTGCTAAACCAGGGATCTAAATGTATGAGAGCACTGGCCAGCGTCCTCAGAGGGAATGTTCACTTCTGGAAGACCTGGGCGCAAGGCAGATTACCACACTTGATTCTAAGCACAGGTATGTAGCAGGTATCCGTATACAGACTTGTGGGAAGAGGAAGACACAGAGTCCTGGGGCTCAGGAGGTAGATGCAAGGTCAAGGTTGGACCAGGCAAATAAAACCCCATGTGGGGTGGACTGTCCTCCAAACAATGTTGGGATAGGCCTTGGAGACACCAGGTTGTATTTCAACCATGTGGTCAACAGAGGTGCATGGTGTGAAGAGTGGAGAGAACTACTGAAGAAAGTACATCCAGTTTACCTGTAACCTGTGTTTATTAACCATAAAATCCCTTCCAAAGTAAAACTCAGAAATCATATTCAGGCATCAGTGAAGCCAGGGCAGAGCATCGCTCATGATTTCATTGAGCAAGCACTTGAGCACCTGCCATGAGCCACATTGATTTGGTACCATAATTCTTTCTGCCCTCATTTCCTGGCTGGCCAATTCCCTGAGTTTGTCTTCTGTAAATATAGCACATTCCACTCCCAGCTTTGCTAGATGTTACCTCCTCAGAAAGCCCTCCCTGGCCTTCAGTCTGAAGAGGCCCCTATCACCTCTCCCTGTTTCATTTTCTTTATAGTACTGATCACTGCTGGGAATTTTAGTATGTATCTGTTTGTTAGGGTGTTTGTTAGTATCAGTCCCTCTAGAATGTGCGCTCTGTGGGAGCAGTGGCTTTGCCTTGTTCACCACTTACCTTTAGGTACTCAGTGGGTGTTCAGTGTTGGTTGACTGAACAGGCTTTCAGGTACCTTAGAAAAGTCTCTTTAAATCAAAGTCTAGCCTCTATTTATGAGATCAGAATCCTGGGAACAATCTAAATTGTCTACCAGTAGAAAGACAGGTAAGTGAGCAATGATCAGAAATATTGTATAATTTTTTAAATTATAGAAAGTTTATAATAACATGGAGATACGTTAAATGAAAAGTAGATACACAGTTTTATTGTATGATCTCAGTTATTTAAATCAGGATTTCACAACCTCAACATAGTTAACAATTTGGGCCAGACATCTCTTCGCTGTGGGGGCTGTTCTGTGCACTGTAGTATGTTTAGCAGCATCCCTGGCTCCTACCCAGTGATAGCAGGAGACCTCCTCCTCACAGTTGTAACTGTCAAAACTGTGTCCAGACATTGCTATATCTCTGAAGAGTCAAATAGCCCCCAGTGGAGAATCACCAGACTGTTCATTGCGAAATTGTTTGTAGTGACAAAGAAAATGGGAACAGTTAATGCCCAATGATAGGAGAATTACTGAATAAATTATAGCATCTCCATGCAATCTCATGCAAATAAATCAACCTCAGAAATTATGTATGTAAGGAAAATACTGGAAGGAAGTCCATGAAAATGTTAATAATAGTTGCCTCTTGGATGTTGCCAGCAGCCCTTGGTCAGAACATTCCTTTTCATTACCATTTCCCAAAATGTTTCAACAGATGGAAAAGAAAAAGCAAGAGAACAAAATGCGAAGAGACCAGTTGAACGACCAGTATTTGGAACTGTTAGAAAAACAGAGGCTATACTTTAAGACTGTGAAGGAGTTCAAGGAGGTAAGAGGAAGGTTGGGCACGACATGTTAAGGCTAAGGTGAAATTTATGTTCACCTCAAGATGAGCCTTTAAAAACCAGGTCACTTTTTTGGTTTTCCTCTGATCTGTGATGAGAAATATCAAGTTGACGGTATGATCTGACAGTGAGGTGTCGCATCTAGGTAGTTGAAGATTGCATTATTCTATGGCTCATCTTAAATGTTCTAAAAGACATCACATCCTTATTTTCATCTTCCTAACACTTAGTAAACACATTAAATTGACATATAAAATAGTGCCATCAACCCACATCAAGGATCACCTGGAAACAGCACTTGTTACGGATTCAGACATAGAATCTTCCCTCCTACCAGTCTTAGGATTTGGAGGGACTTTGAGAACCCAGGTGTGAAGAGAGAGAACTATGAAGCGTGACAGGCTTGGGTTTGAATCCTACTTTTTACCACTTAGCAGCTGTGCTCTTTGGGCAGTGACCTAATCCCTCCAAACCTTAGTTTCCTCATTGGTGGGCTCTGTTGGGTCAGATGAGAGTTATAGCACATAGCACAGTGTCTAGCACCTACTAACACCCAACACTCAACTGAATTTTGTTTATCCCTGTTTTTTTCTCCTGCATTTGGGCAGGGTTACTTTCTTATTCCAGAAAGAAAAATGTCTGCCCTTTTCTTAAGAGATTTTTCCAAAAAGGAGACTTACTTTTTGTCATTTGCCAGGGTCTCATCAGTTTTATTTTCAAGAATTCCTTTCCCTTCCTAACCTAAATTTATGTGGTTTTTGTGAGTTTATATATTGTTGAAAATACAGAAGAGTTAAAGGTAGGTTGTATCCTGGTGTTTGGTCCACAAAATAAAAAATGTTATCTCCCCATGCCAATAATTTCATTCTTGTTTATTTTTTAAGACTTCTTTGTCCCTTTCTTCTGCATCTTTTTTGTCTTTTCTACTTCCCCTTCTCTTTTTTGTGATTTAACTTTTGGGAGCCACAACCCATGGGCATTTCAAAATTTCTTATCCTTTCAAATGTTCTTCCAGCTCCTACTCTGCCCCTGGGTATGTACCAGGTTGTGAAATAGACCTGGTCCCTCCCCTCAAGGAGCTTATGTTTTGGTGGGGAAGACATAAAAAGCTAAACAACAGAAATGAACAGAAACCCTAGTAAATAACAGTTTCAAACTTTGCCATGTGAGGGGACTAATTAGATGGGGTGGTCAGGGAAGGTCTCTGTAGGGTGAGTGGGGCTTGGCCATGGGGAGAGCAGGAGTGCTTCAGCCAGGGAGCAGCTTGTGTGAAGGCCCTGAGGCCGGGCTGCACAGGGAGAGTGACCCGGGAGAGCTGCTCCAGTCTAGGAGCCCTTTGTGGCTAGCAGAGGTTGGAGCTGAAGTTTGGGAAGGACCAGTGAGTGAGGTGGCCAGTAACAGACAGGAACCTGCTGCTCACCCTCTGGAGCTCTTTCTTCCCTGTAATCCATATAACTCACAAAGAAAAAAGGCCCAGAGGAGAAGAATTATATTTCAAACGCAGCTTGGACATACTAGCACTGCCCTTCTGACAGTATAGAAACAAAAAGCAAATAAGTTGAGGAGGATTAGTATAAGCTGTCAAAATCAAAGCAAATAAAAATGAAATGGAAAAGCTCATTCTTGCACTGCAGGCTGTCAGGGCTGAAGGCTTAAGATGACCTCTGAAGAAAAGTTTCTTCAGATGTGTTAAGCGTCAAGAGTCTCGTATTCCCACTATGCATGCGCACAGTTGCTCTCACATCACAGACAGCGTGATTCCTTCAGGGCCAGCAAAGACCCCCTAGGCTAGGTGCTTGCCCGTGCTTAAGTTTTCTTCACCCCAAAGCAAGTCAAAAAAAAACAAGAATGTTTTATTTTCTTACATACTTAATTTAAATATATTTCACCTTTTTAAAAATAACATTTTCTCTTTTCTCTTGTTTTGCTTTGTTTTTTTGGGGGGTGGTTAAAATTGCCTTTCTCTTATAAAATAATGGTGATGTTAGTCTTTTTTTTTTTTTTTTTTAAACATTTTACTTGGCAAAAATTTAAAATTGTCAACCATGTGTGTTAGTGTTCCAAGACCTTAAGCTTTCTCTCCCAAGCTCCTCTGAGGTAATTTGGAGCCATCACAGGTGCTGAGGAGGAGGTAGTGATGGAGGCTTACTTGTTAATCTCCAGTCTCTACCCTGTATCTTCAGCCAGGGTAATTCTGCTGTTTTTCTGTTTTTCATATTGCAGTTCCTAGTAAGATCTTGTTTGTAGTAGAAAAGCAGATTGAAAAGTTGGGCATTCATCCCAGGGTAGAATCTTCTTCCAGAATCCTCTCTGTTCTGCTGTTTTTATCTTCCTCTCCCCTACCTCCTTGGTCTCGTACTCCTGTATTCTGACTTTTCACTGTATCCTCGTTCCTAGCCCTTGTTCTGAGCAATAATTATTCTTTATATGAAGCACAATATTGTTGTCCAGAATATGGTCTTTGGCCATCTTAGCAGTTGTCTTTCTTGAGTTTGGCTTACCCCACATTAGTGGAGCACCAGTAATGCCCCATGGATATCGCTGAGGCACCAGGTTGTGCTCTCATCCAATTCCTAGCCGCCTCTGGTATCAGAACCTTTTTGATTGGAGACATTGAGTTTTTTCTAAAGTCCCATTGACTGCCTCACCCTAGGAGAGTTTGTTAATTATAAGTCTGCCAAGAAACAACACATACTCTGAAATCACCTTAATTGCAGCATCATATTAATTAATTGTATCTAAACCACAATTTTCACAAGGCTATGAAACTAAGATTTAAATTCTAACTTAGCACTGGTGAATGCAATGCCTACATTTTTATGAAGCTGGCTTTGGGTACAAAATCTTTTTTTTTTTTTTTTGTCTTTTTCCGTGTCCGGCAACGGATCGCAACCCTCAGTGTCACCCCCGTACTGGACCGGGACCGGCAACGGGATCGCAACCCTCGGTGTTGCCCCCGCGCCTCGCTCAGCCAGTGAGCGGGAACCGGTCTGTATGTGGGATCCGAACCCTCGGCGGGAGCGCCTCCGCACTTCCCAAGCAGCGCACTAGCACAGTGCGCCACCGGGCCGGCCCTGGGTACAAAATCTTGTGTGAACTGCGCTCACTGGTATGTACTGTATCTGGCACACAGTGTGCTGGATATAGTCTTCAGCAGGAAAGAGACAGAGGCAATGAGACATTTTCCCTTTTCTTCTAGAAAGAAATACCGAGAGGACCTTTTTTATATTTGCTTTGAAGAGAGACACAGTATCATTCTATAGTCTCCCAAAAGGCTTCTAGTAGAATGCATGAAATTTAATCAATGCTCACACACACCAGGTGACAGTGTAGGATATCTTTACTGAAAAATTCAAACATCATCTCAGTGTGGTGTGTGATACACAGAATTACCTGTGATTGGGGACTTTTTACAGCAGGAGGGTTTTGGTGCTTCCAGGTTGTTTTTGCCTCATTTAAAAGGTGAGGTAGAGTGATAATTGAAACTAACTTATTTATAGTTTTATATTTTTATTACGGAAATTTCCAAAAATATGCAAGAAGAGAGTATTATAACAATGTAATAGTATATCTGCCTGTTCTTGTTTCATCTCTTCCTCTCCATACTTTTTTTTTTTTAAGCTGGAGGTATTTTTCCCTAAAAAAATCTCAATTTGTTTTAAAAAGGAAAACTTTCTTCTTAATGTTTCTAGTAAAGCAAATGTAACCCAACATCACCTTATTTCTCTTCCCACCCCCAGGAAAAATTAACTGCTTCCCCACCCCAAATGTGCTCAGGAAGTGTCAGAGCACCTTGTTTCTGACAGTCTAACTGAAGACTCCATCCTTACTCTTGACCCAAGAGCCCAGCTATTCTCCAGCTCTCCAAGTGGAAGACAAGTCTAAATTCTATAGATGAACCAGAATTCATCTTAGTAAAACCAAGGTCTTTGCAGCCATGCTGCCGCAGCACTGCCAGAGAGAGCAAAGGGCCTCCAGAGATGGAAAAATTGACTTTGGGGGTCTTGGATACAGAGAGTTTAGAGGTGAAGGAAAGTTTTACTTGCACACTAAATGGATCTCCAGCAAATCACGGCTACTGGAGCCATGACATCTGCCAAGCCTGAGCCCTATAAGCTCTACTTCTCTAGGCCCTTCCCATTACCACTTTTACCTCCCAGTTTAGAAGCAGAGCTCCTTGTGACCTGGCCCAGGGAAGGGGCAGGAATTGTTGGAGGTTTGCTAGCAGACGGAGGTGTCCTGAGTTATCAAGGCCAGTGAGAGTGGGGGGTGGAGGGTGCAGCAAGAAGCTTTTGAAGAAGTGCAAAGGGAATATAATATGATGCAGAGGTGACTCATACCATCGGACATCAGATTCCATGGGCAGGGTATGGGGCTGGTGACCTCCCTCAAATATTTTCTTGGCACATGCCGTATATAGCTCACTCCTCATCCTATTTGACTGTATGACTCTCTTAAGGCTAAGGATATTCTTGGCATTCACTGTTGTGAGAGTAAGAGCTTCTCTAGTGTTGTGCCTGCTATGTAAACTAGGGCTGCCTTTTATCACTCCTTAGGCTGCTGTCTCTAAGGCCCTTCTCCCTTCCTCACTGTGGTCAGCCAAGACTGGCAGAGTGTCTGCTTTCTGCTTCTCTCTCCTTGAAGAGTTTAGAGACTTCATGAACTCTTTTGGAATTACAGTACCTAATCCTGTTGTCCTGTTCTCAGTCTGACAGCCCAGAAACTGAGCATCATTATAGCTATATTGGCATTGAAGTCAATAGGTCACCAGGAAGTATCACCATGATGGTGGCAGCATGCAGAGAGACCAGTTTAGTTGGTCAGAAGGTGTCTCCCATGGCACTGGAGGAAGGATGGTGAGACCTCTGGGCTTCGCGGGATGCTAGTGTAGTCACCACATCTCTCTACACTCACTCTTTCTGCTTTCCTCCAGGAGGGCCGCAAGAATGAAGTGCTGCTGTCCAAGGTGAAAGCCAAGGCCTCCTGAGTGTTCCCAATGATCATCGTATGTCCTTGATTTTTTTTTTTTTAATGCCATATATCAACTACAAGATCATGAAATGGTTTTGAAAGCACCAGTAGAGAGATGCAGGTGTAATGATTTCAACACCCTGGATGTTTTCTTTCTCCTCTTTGCTTTCATTTCATCTCTGTGTTGGCTGTTGATGGAATCAGACAGTGTAAACACTGTGGCTTGGATAACACCCATCACCCTATGAAGAAATGTGGGCAGTACTTGTTCTCTGTGTCCATCCAACTTTTATTTCTCCAGTAACATTGCACTCATGAAAGTACCTGTATTTGTAAGGACTCTCTGAATAAAGAAGAATTCTTTTGTTCAGCAAGTATCAATTGAACAACCACTGACAAGTAAGCATGGAGGGAGATCCAAAGAAGTGTAAAGCACAGTCCCTACTCCTCAGGATCCAGCAAGTAGTTCAGGGAGCAGGTATAGCCCACTTGACCCCAGAGCTTGGCTATCTGAGATTTTTTTCACTAACAAGGCTTTTAGCTGAATGATCAGTCCATGTGGGTGTTGGCCACTTGGGCCTTTAACCTGCCCATGGTGCCTTTTGTTCCTGTCTCCTTGAGGTGCCAGCCAGCAGGCTTGGATGGCATACATAACAGTTAGGGTAAAACCTCAGTGTCATTGGCTTAATCTTTATACACCACTTAAGTTTATGTCATCAGAAAAGAAAAAAAAATTGAAAATGGGCCTCATATTGAGGATGATTCAGTAAGAATTATATCTTTCCATGCCCTAGTTGTCATTTCTGTCACAGCCAACATGTGGATGGGTTTGTGTATGCCCCTCATTGAGGGCACATTTCATGAGCAGAGCAGATTACGGTCTCAACAAGAGAGACACACACACCACTTGCTGCAGTCAGGGCAGGCAGAAAGACAATGAGTAGGTACCACAGGGCATCAGGAGGAAGCACAGTGGGGTGTGCAGAGATCCAGGAAGACTTCATGGAGGAGGCAGCATTTGGCCTAGAAAGGGGAATAGGATGTTAATAGGTAGAGATAGGTGGGAAAGCTGTTTTAGAAGATACACATGATTAAAAACTCAAGAAGGTGCAGGAAAGTACAGGCATACATGGGAGAGGAGGGACAAGCTGGTCTCTGCAGGAGGCTGTACAGACAAATCTGCAAAGATGGACTGGACCAGCCTTTGGAGGGCCTCAAAGGGCAGCAGAGGAGTCATCTTTAGCCTCTGGAAAGAGCCATTCAGACCAAACATGGAGCTCCTTCTGCTCTGGCCCTCAGGAGTCTAGCAATTCAGTCATGTTCAGTAAACCCTGGTGTGAGGTTTGTGCTGCATTCTACATGCGCCTTGCACAAATACCAGTCAGCAGCTTTGGACCATAACATATAAAAGCTTAAACATGTCAGGCAAATTGGGCACCCAGCACAGTCATAGAAACATCATGTTCATTTTTAGCTCTCAAATGTATGTGATTAAGCAGGGCTGACATATACAGACTTAAAAAAAAAAAAAATCCTATTGTTAAATTAACGACAGCTATTGGTTTCTATGCCAGGACCAGCGAGGCCTGCATGATGAACTGGGCAGAGGCATCAGTGTCTGAACGGCACTCCCAGGTGCTGGGTGTACTTCCTGGGCCATGTGCAGCTCCACCTTGCTGGTCCCAGGGCTGTGGTAGTATGGGGATTTTGAAAGAGCTCAGTAAGGTTGAAACAAGTAATTGCAAAGGATCAGGTGGTGTTTAGAGGACAGAGGGAAGATGTTTAGGGAAACATCTTTGTTACCTTGTTAAGAACCTCATAGTCCGACCGCTGGCTAACTGAACTTTGTGAGCAGTATGGAGATTATTTGAATATTTGTCCAAAGGTGGTAGGGAGGCAGGAGCTGGTGACGTTCTGGGGTTACCTCTCTGTGTTGATGGGGAAAGTAAGGCATGACTAATTCAAAACAACCAATAATAATTTTTGAAAATGGAGGCATTTATTTTGGTCTGTGTTTCTCAAGAGTTTGGTTTTGGTGTAGAAGAAGTGTCAGTAGATATCTTTTTCCTTTTTTTAATAGACAAAGCCTATACAGATGATAAATTAGTTTCCGTTGCTTAACACACTTTGAGTTATACTGCAAAAGTCTTGAGGGTTCCATGTTTGCCACAAACAACCTGCATGTGGTTAGTGCCTTTGTGAGTGATTAGAACATTATGTGGGCTTGACAGTCAAAGACTTATAAGCCAAGAAGATGCCCCAAGGCCCCTGATCATTTTGGAAGCCCCCAGGGGTTGAGGAGGGAGTCCTCCCAGGCCACATCTTTTATGTGCCTAGACATAGTAAGGCATTGTATTCTAAGCCCACAGGCTTTTCCAGAGTTAAAAGGAAGGGGGAAACATCCATAAGTTACTTTTTTCAATGTGCGCCTCAGAAGGAATCCAGTTTTCCTAGGAAGCCGAAAGTTCTTCCTCCCAGTCAGAGCAGTGAGCTTGCTGACAGCACAGACTATTCCAGGCTGGTTGCCGGGTGCCCTGGATTCTCAGAGCCTTGGGTTGGGGCTCCCCTTCTTCCCTTCCTTGTGCTTCTCATGGAGTACATGGGGTTACTCTGGTTCAAACCAAAATCAGAGCTGCTGTGAGCAGGACAAGACTATGTTATCATGACGTATCGGGAGACACCTGGGACATTTGTTGTCATCATTCTTGGCCCTGCGTTCAGTCTCTCCTGGAAGACTGGAGTGAATTGGTACCACTTGGAGATATGGAGTGTCAGAGGACAGTTGCCAAAGTCACACATAAGGGGTGTGTTTTAACAGAGATGGCAAATTCCAAGTCTGTCAAGCATGAGTTCATGGGGAAATGTCCCCAACAACACTAGCCCATGGGACCTCCAGAAACCTTGAGCAGAGGATGGGGAAAGCCTTCAGCAGCCCTCTTCCTACCTCACGAAGTGCCATTCCCATGACCTCAGGGTTATAGCATTGACAGACCCCGGTCACGTCTGTAGTGACCAAAGCAGACCTGCCTGAAAGGGTGCTTTGGACAGTGAGCAGTGGCCTGTAACCTGTGCTGCCTGGATTTCTACTGCCTTGGGACAGTCTTGTCTTACCCACTCTGTAGGTGACTGATGATCAGTTTAAGAGGGAACTAAGCAATCTAGCAATAACTTTGGACAGATGCTTTGGCTGAGCCTTAGTCCCTCTTTCTGAAATGCAGAGAGTTGGATTGAAACATGCTTTGTGGAAGAACACTTTAAGGAAGTGCTCTATGATTTATTCACGGCCAGTGTAGGCCTCAAGGTAAAAGAACATCTTAACATAGAACAGTACAGTGAAGAGCCCAGTTGTCTGTGCCTGTGGTTGGGCATTACCAGGGGAAGCGCCTTGTTCGATGCATCTTGAGAATCCTCCATGCCCTCTGGTCCTTTTCACCCAGTCCAGGGCATTCCTTCTTACAGCACATGGTGATAGGCTGAAAGTGCTACATAAAAGTAATGTAAAGAGTGTCCGCTCTTCTCACAATAAATACTTATATGTTGTGTAAAAATATTAGGGATGATTTAAAATACCTGGTCTGCAGCATATCTGACAACATGGGAATAGTGCGGTTTCTCCACATCAGCCTTATGTCAGTTCCTCAGATGTGCCATAGCCATTGCCCTGCCGTCCCCTCCAAAATCTTGGGCAGTGGCTCTCCCTGACCACCTAATACACTTGCAACCTCATTAATGTCGTCTGCCAGCTCCAAACATGTTCTGTCCTTCCCCTGCTATCTGTATGGATGGCACATGTCATTGTGAATCTCTCTTAGTTCCTTGAGAGGTTTGTTGCCTGCCCTCCCTTCTGAAATGTAACAGCAACAAAAGTGGGGGCCTTGCCTGTCTTACTACAGTCTCCCCAGCATCTGGCTCAAGTTAGATGATCAGGAAATGCTAGCTGGATAAAATGGCTTCGCCATTTTGCAACTTGGCATCCCAGTATTATCAAAATTTAGATTTAACCTTTCCTCTAATTTGTGCTTAGTTTGAGAACAGGTTAACAGTTCTATTCAGCAATATTAGACGATCTGTCTTAGTTATAAGACATATAAATGCATTTGTTATACTCTCACCTTGAAGGCTGGGATAAAAAAAGGTGTCAGAGGTTTCAAACCTTTTACAGATGTGTTTTCTCCCTATATAAGGAAAAAAAGAGTGAGAGAAAGGGAGCACACTAATGTCAAAGATAAGATCATGAGTGTATTTTGGCTCAAAATGTGTCGTGAATCTAAAGGTAATTTAACTGGTAGAAATGTCTCAGCCATGTGAAACCAAGAAGTGGGGCAACATTGTAAGGCTGTGGGAAGAAGCACTCAGTTACGGTGTTGGCAGAGGTGTGAATTGTACAACATCCATGGAAGGCAGTGGGACAGTATCTGTCAAAAGTGCAAATGCACAAACCTTCTGAAGCAGCAATGCTACTTCTGAGAATTTTGCCTGTGTACAAGGATTTTTATTGGAACATTGTTTGTAATAGCAAAAAGTTGGAAAGTACCACCAATATCAGGCTAAATTATGCCAGTCCATACAATGGAATGTTTTGTAGGAATTTAAAAGAATGGAGCTGCTCTGTGTGTCCAGCCATGGAATGATCCCCAAGATGTATGGTTACATGGGGGGAAGAAAAGAAGCTGATAGTATACTAGTGTTTGTTTTAAAAAAGAGAAAAGGGATGAAGAAAAATGTGTCTGTAGATGTGTGCATGTGTGTGTGTATATATATGTATATAATATGTATACACACAGATAAATGTCTGTCACACGTGTCTGCTTGCATATGCCTAGAAAATCTCTGGGAGGACACACATCATCCTGGCGGTCTTGGTTGCCTCTGGGAACAGGGGTGGGAATTACTTTTCACTGTATACCTTTTGTACCTTTGAATTTTGTACCATGTACATGTATTATCTATTCAAAAATAAATAGTTTTTAAATTTTAATTTGGTTTACTTTTCTAAAGAAAAAAAAGAAAAAGACCCAAGGTGGAAGAAGATTCTGGTTCAGTAAATCTGCTTTCTTAAGGAAGATAAAACCCTTGAGTCAAAAGTAGTTAAACTCTCGGGCCAACCCCATGGCTCACTCTGGAGAGTGTGGCACTGGGAGCACAGCAGCACTCCCGCTGTGGGTTCAGATCCTATATAGGGATGGCCGGTGCGTTCACTGGCTGAACGCAGTGCGGGCGACACCAAGCCAAGGATTGCAATCCCCTTGCCGGTCACAAAAAAGAAAAAAAAAGGTAGTTAAACTCTCCTTTTTTCAGTTCTCATGGGCAATAGGCCAGTGTGACAGGGGCTGTTCTCTTCTGGTGGAACAGCTTTGAGGTGACGAAGCACTGAGAGGCTGGTTCTGCTCCTGCTGTATGAGTGTGTTGGGCTGCAGGGAGGGGGACAGAGGGGAATGGAATGGCTCAGCCCTGGCAGCAGACTGGGGCAGCTGCAGGGTTGCCTGCATCTCTTGAGAATCAGAGTGCAAGCCTGGTTTCTCTGATTTTGGGGGTGCAAAATATGGGGATGGTACTTCTGAGCTGCAGTCCAAGGGGAGCTGTTAACATCGTTTAGAAGCCATGCCCATCTTGTGTGGAAACCTGCTATGGGTGATCCTACCCCACTCCTCTTTCCTTATCAGGAGAACTCTGATTTTGTCCAACTCTGGGCTGGCAATGTGTCCAGCCCCAGGAGAGGAATCATGAGAGCTGTTCTAAAATAGTCATGAGAATCTCACTTCTGTTTGCCAAAAGTTGGTTTACAGATGGATGTCTGACCCATTTACAGATAGTAGGGTGAAGACTGCTAAGGATTCCTGGATATTTTCCTACTGATAATCAATGAAAGATACACAGAAGAGCTTCTGCCTTCCCTTCCTGTTTTTTCAAGTTGTCAAGGAAGGACAAGGTTTAAGCAACTTCAGCCATCTTGAGACCATGATGAAAGAATCCCAACACATGGAGCTTGGCAGAGTGAAAAGATGGAAAGAGCCTGGCTCCCTGAAGTCACGAAGAGCTTCTGAACTAACCTGTGGAGCACTTGCCTCCATCTGCTTGTTCCATGAGAAAAAACAAATCCCTGTTAACTTGTGCATTCAACCAACAAATATTTGAGTTTCTATTAGTGTCAGGCCCTGGGAATACAGCAGTGAACAAAGCAGACAGAAGAACTTGCCTTGCTAGAGCTACTTTCCAGTGGAGAAAACATACAAACAAGATAAATATGTAAATTATATCACATGTTGCCTCAACATGCTCATTAAAGCAACTAAGTGTCAGGAGTGTCTGGTTTGGTGGTGGTTTTGCAATTTTATATTGAGAAGTTAGGGCCAGGCCTCACTCACTGACTAGAGGGAGTGCATCGTATAGATACTGTGTGAAGAAAATTCCAGGCAGAGGGAATAGCAAGTATAAAGTCCCTGAGGTAGGAGCACACCTAACAGGTCAGTTTGAGGAATATTAAGGGACTTGTGTTGGGAAGCCATTGGAGGGTTTCAAAAAGAAAAGCGATGTGATCTGACTTTGTTTTAACATGCTGTCCCCTGGAGGCTTTGTTGACTACAGACTGCAAGGAGGCCAGGGCAGAAGCAGGAAGACCACTGTAATAATCTAGATGAAAATACAAGTGAAACAAAAGTTTTACAAGACAAAACTTACACTTTCAATACTACACTCTGATTTTTTTTTTTTCTGTTGTACTTTTTTTAAATGCTGAGTATTGAATTATTGGTTTTCATTCTTCATTCCACCATCACAGACACTTTTGTCATGGTGGGAGGAATGTCTTTCCCCACCCTTTGACTTTGGGGTTTTGCTTGTCCTGTGGGTTGTTGGCAGACTTGACATGAGTCTTGAAATTGTGTTTGTATGGTTGAGTTTACTCTCTTGTCCTTCTCCCTTGAGAACAGCTTACTCTCCTGGCCCAAGAGGGGATGAGGGACACATGGAGCAGACCTAGACCTGATCTAGAGCTTGAAGTCAAGCCCAGAAGAGCCAAGCCTAGATCAGCGAAATCCCAGCTAACTTACAGGCATATGAGCAAGAAATAAAGGCTTATTTCTATATACCACCAAGATTTTGTAGTAATTGCATATAATTATTGAGAACATAGCTAACTGAAACAACCACCAAATTGATTTCATGATAGGTTGTGACCTGGAGTTTAAAAGATACCTCTCTACACCACCCAGAAGATCAGGCTTCTGCAGATGGGTACTCACATACAGAATAGATGCTCACAGAGGACAACAATTATGATAATCCAAATTCCTTCCCAACACCCCTGAAGAAACATGGAGGCCATGTTAAAGGGGAGAAAAGTAGCATACTTTGGTATAACCAAATTTATAAAATAAAGCTTATTAGCTTAGCCATATCCATCCTGTGGGCCTGGAATTTTGTGGAATTGGGTTCTGACACTAAGACATTTTAGTGACATCTTATTAAATAAATCCAGACAAGGAAGAGAAGAATTTTTCTTACAGCCTCCCAACTCCATCTGAGTAATGTTCCATAGGCAAAGTGATTTGAAACAGAGACATTAACACTTTTCAGGGCTCTTCCTGGGATGTTAATTGCAAATCAGATTTTTTTTTTTTTAGTCGGCTTATATTTATACCCTGAGTTAAAAGGAATCACAAGTCCATTCTTTCGTAAAGCAGTCATTGACCAATCTTTCAGAAATTCAGCATTTCATGATTATAGTGAGTGGTTGGGGAAGGCCTTAGTAGCTGGAAGGTTCAAGTCTGAAAGGTGCAGAAGTTGCCACCAAATTAGCAAGCAAACAGCTTTCTTTTAAGAAAAGACTCTAAACAAATGCAATTCCTTCTACCTGAGATGCTCCCATAATTATACTAGATTAAGTCAAATCCCAGGTCAAATAAGCAATGATAAGACCATCCTATCTAATAACAAGAGTAAACCAAAAAATTCTGTAGGTGCTCACCTGATAATACCTAGACTGTCTTTGTCTAAGCCTTCTTCCTGGAATCCAACTAGAATAATACAAGAGGATCTGCTACATCAGGTACAGTCTGCAAGGGTACATGCAGGTCTCAAGCTGTAAAACACAACCCAAGTTGAAACATGGAGTTTAGTCAGATTTCTGTTGAGTTCTCTTTACCTTTCTCATGTTTAGATACAAGCAGACTTGAGTCCAAATACTTGTTCTGCCATGTACTCACTGTGTAACCATTGACAAGCTACTTACCCTCTTGGAGTGAAGTTAAATGAGGACAATTCCTACCTTGTAGATACAGGATTAAATGAGCATTTGTATATAAAACCCAGTACAACAGCTGCACATGGTGGATGCTCAATAAACAATGCACTTAAAATTTGTCACTGAATGTGCATTTCATGAAGGTAAGGGGAGAATATTATTAACATCACTTGTTGTCTTTTAGCCAAGAAGGGAAAATTCCCAGTAGATCCAAGCTTGAGCTCTAGCCCTTAAAAGACAGTGATGGATGACTGAGAACACCACTTGATTGGTAGCTACATGCATACCTGCTCCACTTCCTCCAGTTATCTGCTTCTTTCTTTCTTCCCTGCCTTAGTTCACAGAGGACTTGAGGTGGCTGTAGGAAATAAGCTGAATAAGATAGTCAAATATGAGTAGAACATAAAATACTAGGGAAAACGTAAATAAGAACTCAAATTATATACTAGCTAGAAACATTTATACACCTATAAGTAGATGACCAAGTCCTACATAGATTCCAAAGTTAAGCCAGAAATTTGGTTCTGTGCTTTCCTCCTGATCAAAATGGAAATGGAAGCGTAGTCAGTTAATAGTCCAAATTATGATGAGAAGAAAATATGCCTTCGCAGAGAGTATAATGGAATGACTTTGCATCCTTGTATGAAATGCATTGATTGGCTTATAAGTATGTTTCCTGTAGTATCTTCCAGTGAAAAAGAACATAATTCCAAAATGCACCTCCAAGAAGGCTGTCCACAGGACCATACCTATTACCTTCATGATGTTCCAACCTCCAGCAATGGTGGAATGGTTGGACCATGTAATCTTACCAGACTTCCTTCAGATCATTCTTCCTAACAGGGCTGGGACCTTTCTAATCTGGCACAGTATGTGGTTTGGTCCATAATACTCATCTACAATTTCAAAGATACAAAAAGTTCAGGCAGCAAAGGTTGTAACTCGTTTAACAAAATTGATCTGACCCAAATGACCTGCACTGATGTGAGGCTATTTTTAGACCTTTTCTCACAATGTAGATGTTCATACATTTTACTGCAGAAATATTCAGGTGTTGAATACAGGCAGACGCAGCCATGGTGTTACCTAATTTATAGACTGTATACCGTATTGCCTTTCTAAACCCTAAAAAAAAAATTCTTGATTCCAAAGCATATGTGTTCCCAAAGGCTTTGGAAAAGGCATTGTAGACTATATTCTCTGATAAATCCCAATGTTTAGGTACTCTGTAGTGTAAGTGTAAAGAATGTCTGTATACCTCAGACATCAAATAAGCCAGTTTTGTAGACCCTTTTGTGCAAATTTTAAAACCTAATCAATAGACAACCAGCTCACCTCCAAAATCAGGTAGACTTATCCCATGTTCTTGTAGTCCATACTCTTAGACTCTTATATACATGGGCCACACTTAATATTTTCTGGAAGACCAAGAATCACTATGACAGTTGGGGTGGGGGGCAGGGGTTCGGTGTTATTTTGAGTCCTATACCTCAATGTCTTCCCCATTTCATTGTCACATGCATATGTGTGTGTGCACTATAAATAAGGATTCTGAGCCTAGAAATGAATACCTCAAAAGTATTTTGATTACATATACAAGTCAGTATGGTGAAGTAATGGGAAAATTTATCACAGCTGCTGCCCCTTGTGGCAAAGAAGCAAAGACAAGACCTCATCAGGTGCTATGGTTTAAATGTCCCTACCCCAGTTATTGTTGAAATTTAATTGCTCTTGTA